GGCAGCCCAACCACGGGAGTTCCAGCCTGGCGACCGAGTCATGGTCCTAGTCCCCAACGCGGCCTGCAAATTCCTGGCCACCTGGCAGGGTCCCTATACGGTGCTGGAGAAGATTGGGCCGGTGACGTACCGGGTGCGTCAGCCAGGAAGGAGGAGAGCCGAGCAGCTCTACCACATTAACCTCCTGAAGAAGTGGATGGGGACTAGAGACCAGCTCGCGGCCCTCGCCATCTCTGATCCCGTGGTTGTTGACGTCAACCCCCACCTCTCGGCTGCCCAGAAGAGGGAGCTGCAGCACCTGGTCGGTCAGTTCTCTGATGTGTTCTCCTCTCTTCCCGGGCGGACCAACGTCCTGCAGCACAACATCCGGACGCCGCCAGGGGTCGTCGTCAGGCAACGGCCCTACAGCGTCCTGGAGGTTCGTCGGCGAGCTATTGAGGAGGAAATTCGACAGATGCTGAAGTTGGGGGTGATAGAACCATCACACAGCCCATGGGCCAGCCCCATCGTGATGGTCCCGAAACCGGACAGCACCCTCCGTTTCTGCAACGACTTCCGTCGCCTCAACGAGGTATCCGAGTTCGACGGATACCCCATGCCTCGGGTGGATGAACTGTTGGACCGGCTGGGAACGGCCCGGTATATCTCTACGTTGGATCTCACCAAAGGCTACTGGCAGGTACTCAGTGGATGGCCCGTGCCAAGGATACCAATGCCAGGGTGACCCGATGTTTCCTCGCGCTCGAGGACTTCCACTTCGAGGTACGACATCGGGCTGGAGCCGCGAACGCCAACGCGGATGGCCTCTCTCGGATCTGGGCAGCTTTCGCAGGTTTGTCAGGGGTCACTCCCCACCCCCTATCTCTCCCCTACTGTCTCATATCGTTAACAGGACCAGGACGACGCTTAGGGGGGGGGAGTGTGACGAGCGTCCCGGAGCCTCATCAGCGTCGCCCTGGAAACAAGCGAGGAGCACCTGGCCAGCATCATCTGCACGGACCCTCTGCACTGGGAAGACGGAAGAGAGCACTCACGGAACCGGAGCACCTACCTGGACCTTTCTCACTGGCACCCATCACCCCAATAAATCCACCCTCCGGGGTATTGATTGAGATTACTTGTCGTGTGATTCTTCACCCCGTTACACCATATATAAACATATGCTATCTACGTACCTCACTGTATAATGCACCTTCTGTTTATACTCAGTGTATAATACACCTTCTGTTTATACTTTCCTTGCACCCTATGTTGTATGTACAGTCATTTGCATTGAGCTGGTCTCTGCCCTCCTACCTCATAACTTGCACTATATGTCATAAAGCTTAATGTATATACACATAATCTATATTTATTTATATACTCTGTTATTTGCACTTCTGGTTAGATGCTAACTGCATTTCATTGGCTGTGTACTTGTACTCTGCACAGTGACAATAAAGTTGAATCTAATCTAAAAAAACAAAATTATGCTTACATATTTAATGCACGCACTTTACGATGCAATCCTCAGTAATTACATCAAATTAAAGTTGTTCAAGTAAACAAATATTTCCAACCCATAGAGGATTATAACATAACTAGATTGATCATCTTAAACAAATCCTCCGTGATCGAGTGCAATGACAGAACAGCATTATACTGTATATAAAAAAGGAAGGTTAATCATAATAAATATAATGCAAGAATAAACAAAATAATATCAAAAATAAATGTAAATCAGTCCAATTAATCCTGTAATTTGAGCAGCGTGCTGCTATTCATTAATGTCATGACTGGCAACAGTTGCAGCGCTGACAATCGCATCGATCAGAAGACTGTTTCTAATATTGACATTTATTGCTAAGTCCAACTAAATTCTTTTTTTTTCCACAAAACTGCATCTGTCCATTGACAATAATGCAATAAAAATTCCTTTATGCTACTACTCGGAGCTGGATGTGACGACACGCGGACTACGAGAAAGGTCTATTAGTTCACCTGTTTCGAGTCTTTGGATTTTTCGAGCCGTTCGTTCATCACGTGATAGCCCCATAACTCAAACCCGAAGTGGTACATGTTCTCTGTGCCCTGTCTGGACTTTTATGTTGAAGTACATCATGTGCCTTGTTTGTAGTCGGTTTGTAGTCCATTTGTGTATTGGTTCCCTGTGATTAGGTTCCCCGGGTGTTTCCCATTTACCACGCCCCCTTGTTATCTTGTTCTCCTGTGTATAAATAGCCCTTGCATTTCACTTTTGCTTTGTCAGTTGTTGAATGTTATTATGCCGTTGTCTGCCCGTGTTTTGGTTCTCTGTTTCCCAGTGTTTCTGGTACATAATAATAATAATAATAATAATTACATTTATATAGCGCATTTTTAGGCACTCAAAGAGCTTTACATTGTCAGGGGGTATCTCCTCATCCACCACCAGTGTGCAGCATCCACCTGGATGATGCGACGGCAGCCATAGTGCGCCAGAATGTCCACCACACACCAGCTTATTAGTGGAGAGGAGACAGAGTGATGAAGCCAATCAGCAGATCTGGGGATTGTTAGGAGGCCATGATGGTCAGAGGCCGATGGGCAAATTTGGCCAGGATGCCGAGGTCACACCTCTACTACTTTTGAAAGACATCCTGGGATTTTTAATGACGACAGAGAGTCAGGACCTCGGTTTAACGTCTCATCCGAAGGACGGTGCTTGTTGACAGTATAGTGTCCCCATCAATATACTGGGGTGCTAGGACCCACACAGACCACAGGGTGAGCACCCCCTGCTGGCCTCACTAGCACCTCTTCCAGCAGCAACCTAGTTTTCCCAGGAGGTCTCCCATCCAGGTACCGACCAGGCTCAACCCTGCTTAGCTTCAGTGGGCGACCAGTCTTGGGCTACAGGGTGGCTGCCGGTTCTTTGTTCACTTAGTCTTTTTATTAAACCACCTGCACTTAGCTCAATGACTAAGCCTGTTTCCTTCAGCCTCCACATATAACAGTACAACTGACCAACAGCTATGGATCTAGCAGGTATGCGGCTCCTTCTCCTGCGCCAGGGCGAGCGTCCCCTTTTTGGACTTGGCTTACCATAAACAATTTCCGGACAGTTCGCTCATGAGATTTTTTCTGGACTTAATGAGCCACTCAAATGCCAACTTTTCTGTGCTTGTCCTCGAGGGACATTTTGTGAGTATGTGGAGCTAGCCCTTCAACTCGGTGTATCTTCCTTCACTGTGGGGGAGGTGGAGGAGGATTCCAACAAGGTCACTCCCGAATCCCCTAAACATGTTTTGGGGGCGGGCTACGCTCCTCATGCTCCGGCGTACACGAAGCTTGGGCCGTCTGGACCTACTGGACCCATCTCGGGACAGACGAGACTGGCGTCCAGTGTGGCAGATCCGCCGCTGACAACTGCATGAGCAGCCGGCATCCCGAGGCCTTCCCCGGCTGCTACGCTCTCAAGTCCGCCGGCCACAGTGCCATCTGTCTCGGAGGTAGAGGTTTTCCATGCTCCCTGTCATGGCTACGGCCATTTTGTGCGTTTGGGCTGTGCACACCTCGCCAGTTTCTCCCGAGACAGTGGCAGCTTCCTTCTCCGAGCTCTCTGTGTTCCCTGTGGCCTCTGTTGCGGCTGTGGACTCTGCTTCTGAACTCTCTGTGTTCCCTGAGGCCACTGTTACGGCCGTGAATGCCATTTCTGAACTTTCTGTGTCCATTGAATCCTCCATTATGACTGCTGACACTGTTTCTGAACTCTCTGTCTGCCATGTCTCAGCCAAGATGGCCGTCTATGAACTCTCTGCTGGTTCAGCCATGGCCAAGGAGGCCGCCGGTGAGCCCTCTGACTGTCCCGTCATGGCCATGAAGGCTGTCTGTGAACTCTCTGACTGTCCTGTCACGGTTATGGAGGCCATCTGTGAACTCTCTGCCTGCCCTGTTATGGCCGAAAAGGCCGTTGTTGACCTCTCAGTGATCTCTGCTCCAGTTCCACCTGATCCAACTTGGTGGTCACCTGCCTCAGTAGCTCCACATTGGTTGTTCTCTGCTCTGTTGTGGTGGTCATCTGCTCCCCGTGGGGATCTTTGCTCCCATCTGCTCTGCTGTGGTGGTCATTTGCTCCTCCGTGGGGACCTGCAGACCCATCTGCTCTGCAGTGGTGGTCATCTGCTCCGCCATGGTACTCTTTAGCGCTGCCTGCTCCACCCTGGTGGTCCTCTGCTCTGCCTTGGCGCACTTCAACTCCGCCAGCTCCATCCTGGACTCCCGATCTTCCGGCTCCGCCCTGGCCTCCTGAACTGCCTGCTCTGCCCTGGCCTCCGGCTCTGCCTGCTCCACCCTGGTCACTTGCTCCACCTCAGTCTCCACGCCCTTTTCCACTCCATGGGCTTGGCCCACCATCCCTCCCCCCCGTTCCGCAAAGAGCACTCGTGGGAAATGCTGGTATCGTCACTTTTTTAATTTCAGTATCAACTGGTACTGAAGTCAGTACTTTAGACAACACTACAGTGGCTGCTGTGCCATGCTTTTGCATCGGTTAAGTCTGTTTAGCTTCAGTCACACTACGTGATAGAGTGCATGACAGCTACAGCTTATTTTCCATTTGTTATTCTTAGGGGTTGCCGACCCCTGATCTATGAATAACTGTCTTTTACCTGGAGACTCAATCAGGTACCCAAAATTTCAGGAAATGAGACCTCTGGCCTTTCCATTGGGTCTTTTGTCCAGTCACAGATACTCTATGGACAATATGACCCAATACAGCTCAGTTTTTCTATATATCTTGCTTTGTGGAGTGGTAGAAGTGATTCTATGTAGGCCATACTGGGCCAACACTATGTTTTTCCAGTCAAGGTAAAGGACTGTTTTCCCCATGCCCCCAGCTATGACTAGACACCTTCTATTGCTGCGTTAGAGACAAGGTCGGGTGTGGAAACATTGGAGTTGAAATGTCCCACTTCCAACCTCTCTGAGATCCAGTCAATCACACATCACATTCACATGTTGACCACATGATGGCGCCATAACACAACGAGAGCATTTCGTGGTTTTGTGTCAATTATGGCAAAAACACAAAACAATTAGCAGTGACGTCAAATGACGTGTCTCGCTGAGGTCGGGATTGATCGATATGCTCTGAGTTCACAGGTCGGATGTCCGACTTCAAGAAGAGTTCTAGATGTTTTTTCCAAATAGGAAGATGGAAAAATCTGGATTTCGAGTTGCCTGGAATGCAGCATATGTTTGCAACCCTATGCATGTACAGATATCTATATCTGCAATAGACTTAAGCAGATGATTTTGCTAAACTAACACAAATTAACAAGACAAAGCCTTTAGCTTCACCACAACGTAGCATTAGCTTTAGCTTTATCACAACATTTTAAACGTACTATAGTTTAAAAACATGTAATATTGAGTTAATACATGCAATATTGAGTTAAAAATACAAACCAACACATTCTTATCTGTGAACGTTTATCCAATTTCTTCAGGAATTTAAATTTTGGTGTTTTTTACAACCTGAGGCTGCGCAATGTTGTGGCATCTCATTAATCTCATTGAAATTCATTGATCATCCACAAAACATGTTCAACACATGCTGTAATATACCGCTCATTGCCATATATGTGTGCAATGAATTAGTGAAGTAGTTTGCAGTATACAATGATAAACATTTTAACTGTATTGCTATGTAGTTACTTTGAACTGTAAGAATAAATGTAAATTTCATTGAAATGACACAGAGACTCTTACCTTCATCAGTCCAGTGTGTTTGTAGAGTTTTGCAGCAGCTTGAGTCTCGTCTTCATGAACTGTAATGACAAACATGTTCATCAAAACATGGAGAATATTGCTGATTCACAAATAAGGCTCACTGTTTTTACAGATGTGTGAGCTGTAGATTCACTCGACCTGTGTCTCTGTGTTTCCTGCAGGTACAAAACATCCCAATTCCAGCCAAAATCACCAGAGATCCAGCAGCAGAACTCAGCACTATTATCACAGATACTGAGACTGGAGGATGTGATGTAAGATGTAAAATAGGAGGTGTTGGAGACTGTGATGGAGTCAAAATAATTAAAAATAATTAAACCACACTAGTGGTTAGAAATATACCTGCATGCATCTTGAATGATGCATGATCAATTTTTTTTCTTGTTTGTTGAGATGCCAAACTTTCAGCTTCACGAGTCACTGCGTATATATGCCTATATGACAGGACATGCACGAGCAAATGATGTGTGTATGCAACTGATTATAGATCAAAATGTATTTTGGTAAGAACATGGTTTGGAAAATTTTTTATTTTTTTATTTTGTAACTATTATCAGAAAAAAAAATTACATACTATAGCTTTACAGTAATTAGCGCTGCATCTGTTTATTTATGTCTGCTTCTGACCCGCATGAAGGATGTGTAAAAAATACTTCATCTGACACTGATGATGACATGATTTCAAAAATATTTTGTCTTTACACTGAACACTTTTGTCTTATTTATGGTCTCTAAATTAATGTTTTCAAAGATCTTAAAAAAAAAATGTGCGATTTTTGATTCATAAAAAATACTTTCTTTTTTTTATGAATGGCAGCAAAAATTACACTAATTGTGACTCACCATAGACAGTAACACTCAATCTGTTTGTGATCGGTTTGATTCCTTTGATTATTATTTGATAAAGTCCAGAGTCTGTGGTTCTGGTGTTTGTGATGGTCAGAGATCCAGTCTGATGATCCAGCTGCAGTCTCTCTCTGAATCTCCCATCAAGAACTTCATTGTAGGTGTTGAAGATTCCAGCCTCTTTATTAGTTAGAGCTATACGAGTCTCTGGATGTCCAAATGTCCATGTTATCAGATCCTGTGTCTGTATTTCAGTAACATCATATTCTAGAGTGACTGAATCTCCCTCTGTCACTGACACTGACTTCACTGCATCAACACCAAATACGCCTGAACAACATAAAAAAGATGTTTAAATAACTTAGTTTACTAAACAGTTGTACATTTAAAATGTCCAAACACACAACATCATACACAGAAAACTCTTTAACTTCAGATGAGAATTGCGTCACGAACTAAAGCAGCTGCTGTTTGAGCTTCAGTGTTTTTATCTAAAGGACATTTAGAAAAAACAAACACTGAAACAGACTGAAATCATAAAAACACATTTCAAACTGACCAACCAGATGCCACAAACAGAACCAAAATCTGTGAAATATCTTTAACAATTTCAGTCCACAAATATGAAAAGACAAACTCTTCAAAACTGGTTCAGTAAAGGCGGGCGTACATGGTGCGATTCTGAAGGTCGGAACATCGTGAGCTCTGGCACATGTCACGATTGAGTTTATCCGAAAATTGTACGGAGGCAGTCACACACGACACGAATTTACTACGATTTTGCAAACTCTGACGTAAGCATTACGTTTCGCGCCATTCATAAAAATATGGAATCTGAGGACTAAATTGTTTTCTTTGTGGCAGGCGGCTTGTGACGTCCAAAAGAAAAAAAAAACGAAGACAAAGGACATGGCAAAGAGAATGGCTGAAAAGCAGAGAAAAGCATGGACTTTCTGTTCTTCATAAAGAACTCGAGGGAGTAGGCCATTTCTGAATTTCTGCTCGTTTTGCCGGAAATACAACAGGCATATTCATTCATAAAGCTGAACGGCAAATTTGGCACATTCGGAATAACAAATAAAAAATAGAACTGTATAATTAAACTAAAATTATTATAGACTATATGGTTTTTGTCATCTTCTGATTGGTCAACTTCAGATAGATCGCCAAATCGTCTTGTTCAACCGCACATACGCCACTAATTTAAACCGACAGCATCCGATTTTTTTTACGTTTGAAAATTATCGGGAGGACGGGAGGTGCTCGTAACGTCTCGGATCGGCCCGTAATTCTTCTCACACAGATGAGGTCTGATCTGTAGTAAAGTCATGCGGAAACTTTACTGTCAACTAAAATAACCACTTATTTATTCAGTGTTGATGCGTGTGACCATCTAGCTCCTTCTTGCACTCTCTGTCACTTTGAGCTCCAGTAGGCCTCAACTTCCTGTAGATCAATGTTGTATTTTTCAACAGAAATAAACTGGCCCATACCATGGTCAGTGACTAGAGAAGTTAAAGGTGTCTTAAAGCAGCATTTGATCTGATCATGAGAGTTAGAGTGTTTGACTCTGCTCTCTCCTGGAACTGTCTTCAGCTCGTTTGTTGTTCATTTCTTATCAAATGTCTCAATTGTTTCTCCTCTCAGACTGATTTCAGAGTTTCTCTAATGGCTTTATAGAGCAGGAACAGATCATCTGCTAGAACTGAGTAGAAAAGTGTTCTCTTACATGAAAATATGATTAATATTCAACCACTATTTTGTATTTAAGTATGAGGTTCAAATACTTCATTTTGGTGACTTTTTTATGCACAAATTTCTGCTGGATTAGCTTGTGTTGTAATAGCGTGTAATTTGTGCTGGTATTTTAAAAGCACACTTTCTGATGCACCAAAAAAATTTAACTACAATATTGTCAAATTGCTTACCAAGAACATGTACCACCTTAAAAATTCATATAATAACATAAATGCATGAGATTCTCCTGATTCATAAAACCACTTACCAGCAGGACGTTTCTGCTTAAAATCAGCAAAGTGATTCTCCGAAATGGAAAGAGGAAAATGAATGCATACACAATTCAGGATGATAGATCGTAGAGAACTATCCTCCTTCACAGTGCAGCTCAACAGTTGGGCCTCAAAGGTCAGCCTGAAGACCTCCCACTCTGAACAACCAGGCAGGAGTTACAGGTTCTCCGAGGTGCAGCACTCTCATTTGTGATCTCGCCAATTGCTCAGCTGACTTAGAAGCGGTCTGTCCTGTGTTGCTCATTTAATCGGATTACCCCCATCTGGGGGTAGCAAGTAGAGAAATTCTGGCAGACGGAATTACTACCCTGGCACAATGAAAAGACCATCAGATCCAGACAGGACCAGGAGGCGTTGGAAGTTTTGGAAAGGAGGACAGTAAGGGTGAGGTGGATGGTGTCAAGCGATATGCAACCCCTCTCTTGCTTGTCAAGAACATGCATGAACTCAAAGCACATAAAGAGGCCATCTTATCGCACCTAAGGGCCATTGAAAGGAGACTAGCCAAAAATCTGGAGCAAGCAGCCGTTTATACCACAGAGATTTCAAAACTGGAGCGATCAGGCTATATTAACAAATTGCCACAAAATGCGGTGACATCCTGCTCCTAGTTCATCCTGCACCACATGGTGCAGCACAACGGGAAAAACATGATAGTTTTATCTGTTCGTTCCAGTATCGCGGACAAAATCTGAATGAGCTTCTGCTCCCAGGACCAGTGTTAGGGGCCATCCCTACTTGCAGTGCTTCTCAGATTTAGGGAACATTTAGTGGCAGTCAGCAGCGACATCAAGCAGATGTTCCACCAAGTTAGACTGCTCCCAGAAGACAAACCACTCTTGTGCTTCCTCTAAGGAGATCTAAATGTACAGGAACCAAACAGAGTGTACGAATGGCAAGTCCTCCCTTTCGTCACCACCTGCAGCCCCTGCTGTGCCATCTTTGCACTAAAGAAACACGTCCTTGATAATAGCCAAACCCGGAGATGATGTCCGCAATTCTGTGTTGAAATCCTTTTATGTAGACAACTACCTACAAAGTTTCTCTTCAGTAGAAGAAGCAATATTTTTGTTGACAGAATCAGGAACCTGCTAGCAGATGGAGGCTTTGAGCTGAGGCAGTGTTTCAGCAATGCCCCCTCAACGATAAGTCACCTGCCCCACGATTCCATATTGAACAGGGCAGAACTCTGGAATTCACAAGGCCGAACGGACATCTAGGAATCGAAATTAGGGCTCCTCTGGAACCATCAGTCTGACACAACATCCTACAAATACTGTACCAAAGACAGTAGTGAGACTACCATGCGCAACATATATAGAGTGTGGGATAAAAACAAGATTGAGATTATCCACACTTGCCTACAGATCTGCTACAAACATGGACGAAGTGGGAGGGGGAGCTACCAGCCCTACAAAATATCTTTCTTCTTCTGTTACTGTAGCTCCACACAGCACCTGCAAACTGAGTTGAACCTGCCCATACGGCAGACGATCTTGTGGACTGACCCCAGCACTGTCCTCACATGGTTCTGACTATTGCCGATTCAAAGTATCTGTTGGGATTCAGGTCGCAGAGATCTAGGATGTCATAGAGCAACACAGCTGTCAATATGAACCCTCCACAAGCAATCCAGCAGATGACATCACTCTGGGAAGGAGTCTCTGTGAGCTAGGCCTGGAAAGCCGTTGGTGCCAAGAACCACTCTTCCTGAAAGATGCTCCCAATCTGTGGCCTGAATGCCCCATTCCAGAGGAACTAGACAATAATGAATTTCATAAGGTTGGTACCTGTACTCTTGTCTGTCCCATCAGACTTAGAACAACTAAGTACTGGTAAACTGCTTGCTTGCAACAGCCAACTAAGAGCACTGGTCCTGGAACTCGATGGAGAATCAAAATTAATCGGTGAGTCGGTGGACGTTTATGACATATTCCCTACCTGGAACCTGACAACATGCACCCTATTGTACTGGATACAAGGCATCCCATCACAAAACGTATAATCCAAAGTTATGATTCTAAACTTTGTCATCCAGGTCCTGAGAGGGTGTTCGCTGAACTCCACCGTAAATACTGGGTTCTGCGTGGAAGAGAGGCCATCAAGCGTTTGCAGCGAGAGTTAGTCCCAAGCGTTTGCAGAGAGGTGGTCCCAGATCTGCAGAGACAACTGGCAAAACAGCAGACTGAATTCCATTTCAATTCTCCTAACTCACCACACTTTGTGGGCTGCTGGGAGCAAGAAATTTGCTCTCTGAAAAATGCACTGATGGTTACTCTAGGAACTCAATCAGTGACCATAGAGAGTCTTCAAACTGTGCTGGTGGAGATTGAAGGAATTTTGAACTCCAAACCTCTGGGATATACATCA